TGCATCACAGTGCCATCATCTGGGACAGAATGCTGTGCTATGGGTACCAACAGCCTGAGAAAGTGAGGCATTGCGTAAGCAGACACACTCAGATCTTATTTCCTTCTCCTTTCCTAAAACATACAGCAAGCCCAATGGGAACACATTCTTCACTTTCTATTTCCACAGGTTATTGTGCTTCAGAAGTCCTATTGGAGGCAATCAATCTTCTTCACATGCATTGAGCATAGGTACCAGCCGGCAGCTTAGAAACCCAAAGATATAGGTTATCTCCCAAAGACAGGAAGTCCAAGAAACAAGCAGCTTTTTGAAATCAAATGAGTCATATTCCTCCTGGTCCTTTTTTAAGGTCCTTGTTTTTCCTCGATTACTTGAAGAAGAATGGATTTCAGGCAAGAGCGGTAAAAATCCTTTCCTTAGATTTCAGAGGGTGAAACGTATTTGTAGCAATGAGAAGCTTGCAATGGCTCCCCTCCTCTTACTGACCGCAGTACAAACAATCTTTTACATTTAGTTTGAATGTATCCACAATTTACAACTGGGAAAAGAGCCAGCAGAGCCTTCCAGCCACTCCAGCAAGTGTAAGTCAGAAAAGAAAATCTCTGAGGCTCCAGATCTCAGATACAGGAAGTACAAGACTGATAAGCATACCTTCCAACGCTGGGATGATGCCTGAACCCAAGACTTTAAAAATGAAACATCTGCAACCCACAGACTGCATTTTAAGTCATGTGAAAGTTACAGGTTTTAATCAGATGTGTGATTATTGCCAAAAAATCCCAGAGTTTTACTATATTATATTCTTATTTAAAGGTTAATAACATTCAATGTATTTTTCTGTTGGCAGATATGTAACAGCCACAGCACACAGACCTACTAGCTTGTTTTGCATTGCTTTTTGTCACCAAAAAAGCAATGCCTGCCCAGCAATCCTTTTTGCCTCCACCATTTCAGTCAACCTACTTCCTCTTAAATAGGGGTTGGGAAGTGATCCCCTTGATACAACTCTCTCAATCACTCCATCTTCAAACTCCACTCTAGATCCATGCTATTTTGGCGTACTACTTTCACGACAAGTGGAGCGTTACATATCCACAAACACAAAGTAATGTGACACAAACCATCACTTACAGTACAGACATTATTTTAATGTCAAGCTTCATCAGTAGAAATACACACAGTATTTTACCCTACGCATGCCAAGGTAACAACAATCAAAGCCAATACAAGTTAACTGTCTTAGATCAAACTCTCCACAATATCAGCTTTAAGAGAAATTTCTCCTGCTGGGTCAAGAGATGAGCAGGGAGGGAAAGAAATCAGCACAAGTCTTCATGAAAGCAGTAAGGACCTTGTTATGCAGATAATTTTACCATTCTAGAAGTATTCAGACACTCATTCTGAAAAAATGTTAGCAAAACTATGCATGAACAACCCTCAGAGCCATCAGTCAATCAGTGATCGGGAGCTATTCAAAATGAAGTTTCACACTTAGATTTCCAAGATTAGGACTATTAATAGTGGCATTTTCTAATGCAAGTAGAAAATACATTAAAGTAGATGCTAAAACGTCTTACTAAATGACATCTTACTATGTCATTGAAAACAAAAATGTTCTGCTTGAATACAAGTACCTGAGGTCATCCATTGTTTCTTGTATCATATTCTGAATGAAGTCTATTTGGATCGATGTCAGAGGTGCATTTGATGTCCTGCTCTCAATGGTTTCTACTATTTTTTCTGACAATGAACTGGCAACTCCAGCAGTGACAGGTGACAGCATCTTTGGACCTTTCCAATGAAAAATAAAATAAATAAATAACTTAACCAGCATAATGGAATACAAGAGGATTTTTATTTGTCTTGAGGCTTGTCGATATTTTCTCTCAAATATTACCAATTTTATAAAAAAAGAGAGAGATTTAGTATGAGTCTCTTCAGAGGAAATTAGGAGATATTCTAGGAAGGCTACATGGATTTACAGAAGAATCAAGATTGGATGGTTTGTTTTTAAGGTTAAGGCCATTTTATCAGGTTTCACATTGGTTTGCAATCAATCTCACCTAAAACTTGGCCAAAATGATCAACTTACTTATTGAGGTAGCACCATTTACTGGTAGGTCATGTGCAGGATGGATCGGAATATTCTTCACTAGTCTCTCATTTGTATCAGGAATCTTTACGTCAGTGGATGATGGTGGACTTAAAGTTACCGATTCTGTACTTGATGAGGTTGATTTTGAAAGCTGACACTAAAAATAAAAATAATAATTAGAAATAATATATTAACTCTACTTATTACAATTATCTAATTGCTCCTGAAGACTGTTTTCAGGAATGCATTTTCACACATTTTTGATTTTAAGAATCAACTCACAAATAACTGTACTTCATTTTCTAGCAAGACATCTTAAAAACTGCTTGCTAAAAATATTCAAAATTGTTCAAGTGTGCACACACAAAAAGGAGCACAAAAGGCAGAGGCCTCTTAATTTTCACACCAAACATTTTGTGGCAAAGTTATAAACATCATTCCTAACAAACTCAGACTTCTCAAAAGCAATATAAAAGGAGCCAGGGACTCAGCAGAAGTGTATCAGCTCAAGAGGGAAGAAGAGGAAGATGGACAATAGAGAAAGAAGAGAGGGTAGAATTATCTAATAAACCATAACAAGCAATAAACAATAAACAAGCAATCATACTGGTCCAACCAACTAATGATCATGCTTGATTTTCTAGAAAAAAATCAAAATATCACTCAAGGTAGTCCAGTTTGTTTCACGTGAACCTTTGTAACCTAAGCTTATTTAAAGAGAAACATACATTTATCTGGCATTGCTGAAGGCCAACGCATTTAAACTAAACATTTTACAGATTTGTGTCACAGATTTGTAAAGAAATTTGCAAAACAATACTAGTTGGAATGGTATTAATCATTTTTCCTTCAAGTAATACTATTCTGTCAGAATTCTAGAAAGATCACTCATAACAAGAATTAGTATAGTCTACCTGCTTTAAGACTTCTTTAGATTCTTGTTTTCCAAGATCTATCTTCTTACTGTCAGTCTCTGGATGTTCTTCCTCTTCTTTAATCGGAGTTCCCATAAGTGCATGTAATGGGCTAGACTGTATCCCTTGTGCACTACTGCCTACTGGGTTTCTTTTTACTGATATGCCAGTGGTGAGCTGTGGGAGGAAATCCAAACCCAAACCCAAAAGGGAAGACTGAAAATTCTGACCTAAAAAAGGAAAAGCGAAGGGTCAAACACACAGGTTAAAAAGCAAACACACACCCCAAGTCAAACCCACAAGTAAAATGCCTGCACACCACACAAAACAAACACAAAAGTCACCCAAAATGCATCCCACAAAAAATAAATCTTTAAATCTAACTTAGGCTCTCATTGTCATTATGAAAGTAATAAAGCATGAAAAGCCTCTATATATCACTATAAATTACATAGAGGAAAAATAAAATCACTTTAGGATCATACTCTTGGATTTCCTGTTACCATGTTGTGTCTTAGCACCTCAATGTGTTAGACAATTTCCAGAAAAGTTCTTTTGTTTCAGTGTTTGCTTTCACTGTTTGTTTTTTTTCAATTGTATGACAAAATTAGCATGCAAGAACTAGCAGAGGTCTCCAAAGACCTACCGCTGACAAAGAAAAATATACTGAAAGTATGTTTACCGTCTCCTTTTCCTTGAGCATTTTCATTCGCTTTATTTATAATATCTGCAAAATATCAGAACATAGCCAAATTAATTGTTTGTTAAATGAAACCTACATCAATATTTGTATCATTGCATTGAGTTCATAATCAAAGACAAAATACCAAGTAGGTACAGTGGTACATAGTAACACAAAAGTGCCAGAATGTCATGCTACATGCAGATGAATGATCTTAGTAACTTACCATCTCTGACTGGAGAAAACAAATCTCCTAAACTACTTCGACCCAAATCAAAATTCTTCATATCAGCACTTTTCCCATGATCCGTTTCTTTAGATGGAATCACATCCAAGCTGCAACTATGGGGAAAGACTTAAAAGGACAATATCATTGAGTTAGTAATTGATGTTTTCCAAAAATTAACATACCCTACACAATCTCACAGCAAGCGTGATGGCAGATAAGTGCAGCAAGCACTTCAGAATCCTCTATGGATTCCCGTTAGAGTCAACTTTAACTTCCTCATTTGGGCTGTAATCATAGATGAATAACTAAAAGCTATGACTCTTCTTAACAAAAACAAAATAGTTGGATTCTCTTTTTAAAAAGGAGAGTTATTAAACTGGAGAATGCACTCATTTTCAGATAAATCTACATGTTGGTTGCAGTAAATGTATGATGTATCAGGTAAAGTGAAAACTAGTGAATGCATCTTCCACTAAGAACGTCATCAGGTTCCGATTACCAAAATTTATATTCTGCAAGAAGATAAAATCTGCTTCGCCCTGCCATTAAACATTCTAAAGGTAATTCTACAAAACATTTATTTTAAAGCTTACCTGATGTTTGGATAGTCTCTGCTTATTTCTAATGTTAGGAAATGAGAGCGGGGTTACAGTTGCAGGCAAAACACTTGTTCCTAGACCTTTCCCCACACCACCATGAAGCCCCATCCCTGACCCAATCCAAGAGAAAAATGTTAGCTTTCATATACATGGTAGCAGGGACAGTTGTCTGCAGGATGGCAGCATACCTTAAGTCCAAAAAAAACCCCCCAGTAATTATTTAAAGCACAGTTTTTAGATGAGGAGTACATGGAGAAATGAATTGAACTGCTAAGATAACCACCTAAATTACTTCCACAATTTAGAATGTTTGAAAACCAGATCAGGACTGTAAGCAAGCTGCTATTCTGCCCTCTCTGCGCTAAGATTTATAAATAAATAAATCTTACAAAAATAAACACAGCTTAGGGCTGTTGTATGTACAGAAGTACCTAAACCACAGGATGGCTATTAAACAGAAGTTTATGGGAAGCCAAATCAAAGTACATCCAAGCTTCCCATCACATTCTGAGTTCATTTATACTTTTTAGATACCTGTGACAAAAAGTCCCAGTTGATTTGTAAGCTATACAAACTGGTGGGTTTTTGTTTTAAATACAGTATCAGGTCACTTTACTAAATGCCACTTATTTCTAAAGTTAAACCCTATAGTCTGTAAGTTTCCACAGGACAAATGCAGTTTGTGGTCTCTCATCCATTCCTACTGTTACATTTATAGACCATATCTTCTGAAGTAAATAGAAGTCTTTACTTCAAAAGTGAACACTCAAAAAATATTTGGTTTACTTTGTAAGCCTTTATCTTCTTCAAACATTTCTTACAAATGGTCCTATTTAAGGGGTAACAGCCATTACATCTTCAAATAAAGATAATAAATCATATTTTTTAACAGAAATTAAATTTTCCACACCATTCAGTAATGTTAATTAGCAACACTTCTTGCGTACATAGGAAGCATTCTACTTCACCTCATACTTCACTGCATACCCAAGGGAGGTCATTAATACACATCCCTATGGACTGCAGTGGCTTATTGCCTAATTACTGTTGCTAAATGTATTTCTTCTTATTTAAAAAGGGAGGGGAAAAGTACTGTTGCATTAAAACAGACTGAGGATTTTTTTCAAGAATCAAACTAAGTGTTACCAATTTGACCATATTTTCAGAACTCTTGAATTAAAAATTTAAGAGTACATTTCACACAATGGCAGAATTTTACAATTATGCTCAGGGTTCTTATAAAGAACTTGCTCATTTCAGAAGCATAAATAGCAAGTACAGTTATACAACTTATCATACTTGCAACTATATTTAACATCTTTCCTACCGTGTGATATTGGAATCATGCCTCATACAAAAATACAGCTCAGTTCTCACTTGGGTTTTTAGACTAGGTTTTTTTTTTACTGTGTTTAGTTTGGTTGCTTGCTTTTTTAAGATGAGGTCTGTTACTCCTGTTATTAATAGAATTACAACTCATTAGCTCTGCATTCCATGCAGACAATGTGTCAGAAAATACATTACGTACATAAGGATAATCTACAAGTAAGAATGCAAAAGACAATATCACCATGGAGCTTTCTCCATTAAATTTTAAATATATACTTTTGCTTCAAGTCCAGAATTTTAGACTTCACATGTGTAAAGCTTGTAGCAGGAGCCAATTCACTTCCCACAGTCTCACAGTATGTCTAATGCAGTAGGGGATGGAAAAAGTAGGTGCAGATGCGCATGCGCGTACACACAGTTCTTTCAAACGAATGCCCTTCCCTACGTGTAATTTTTATACTGTAATGGTCAAGGCATGAAATATCCCTTCCATCTTCTACATTATGTCAGATACGATTATAAAAGTAGGAAAAAGACACTACCTGTTTTCTCCTGAGGAACCTCTCCTCCCTTATTCTCATTTGGCAATGTCAGATGAGATGAAACTGTTGTTGATGCTTGCAAGGTAACATTTTTGATGCCAATGTTTTGAATTCCTCCAAGATTACTGTCAGCTTTGACTTCTACTCTTTTGGATACAGGTTTATTTGAAGAACCCATAAAGTTAGACTGAAGAAAAAAAAACCAGAACAAATTAAGAGAAGTTATTATTCCTTCAGCTAAAAGTGAAAATATAAGCCAATATTCTTTCTATTTCAAAATACTAAAAAAAAAAAAATCAGTTCAAGTTGCAAAGGTTGCCTAGGAGATACGCCTTTACAGATATTAAAAAAACCTCATCTTAATATAACTTTAAAGAACTTGGGAAAGATCTGTACTATATGAATACTGTGTGGACTTGCAAAAGAATAGCAACAGAGTGACATGGCATGAGATAATTTTGATCCTAGGCTGAGGAATAGGAAAAATAAGAGATTACGTTACTAAGGACTCCAAATTGTAAAGGAATAGTCAACCACCAGCAGCAAGTGTGCTGCAAGAAAAGAGAAATCTCAGCGCAATAAAGAATCCACTTCAAAGGCTCTCTCCATCTCCACTGAATGGATGTGTGGGATTTCTGGATAGAGAAGAGCCTCATTAAGTCTTGGAAGAACCTCTTAAACCTTCTCTATTATTTAATCAACTTTTACAGTTTATATGTGCCTGCAAAAGACCATATGTAAGGCCATGCAAATACCACAAGATGGACAGTTGTGTGCCTTCCCCTCAAGTGGAAGGGCCATTACAGATCTTCCTGCTACTGCGTACAAATGAGTCTAAGATGCCACAAACTGATCTGCAATGGCAGCATATTCACACCAGGAAACTTAGGACTAAAGTTTCACTCATTTCTACACTGAGGCTAGGGGTGGGGGGAATTCCACATTAAAACCCCTTAAAACAGCACTTCAGACCAAGCAGTTTATAATTTCTATGCTGGTATGAACCACTTTTGTTTACATCTAGAATGCTTGAAAATTAAATGCTAACTCTTTTTAGAACTTAAACTGATGCTTTGCTTTCACTTATCTGCATATTCAGCAATATAAATTAAAGTTTTTTACCTTGGAAAAAGTGCTACTGGACTGAAGACGTAAGCATTTCACACAGCCTTTGTGAGCAATAACTGTTTTCACTGGTGATGTCAGTTGTCTTAAGTCATACTGGCAGATTTTTCCCCGGGAACATCCTATAGCCAAAGTAGTACCATCGGGCATGAAGTCTACTGTTGTCAGAGGAAAATCAGCTACTATTGTTGTCAGTAATCTTCAAACAGGAGAAATGACAAGATAAAGAAGCTTTTAGAGTTCAAAAGTTAAACTTTTCCAAACAGTGTACCTAAAAAAAAAATATAAAAGCTTTCATAATTTAGCTACAGGTCAGTAGTTCCACTTCTCCAGTGCCAAGAAAATTCAGTGAAATATGTTCCAGAACAGTGGATTAAGTTTATGGAATCACAGAATATCTTGGGTTCGAAGGGACCAATAAGGATCATGGCATGGAGTCCAACTCCTCACTACTCACAGGACTACCTAAAAACTATGGTTTTTGATATGATGCTCATTTGACTAAGAGCATCATCTAGTTGCTCCTTGAACTCTGACAGGCTTGGAGCCATGACCACTACTCTGGGGAGCCTGTTCCAGTATGCTAAGTGTTCATGCTTAACAAATTAAAAACTGTATATGGTCCAAGAGATTTCACCAGAACAAGAACAAATTGTCTTCATAACAGCAGTTCTGACACCTAAATTATTTACTGGCATAATCATTTCCAGCAGCATTCATATTACATACATCCTCTAGCTTGCCATGCCTATCAACCCAAACCTTCCCACAACTCTAGGAAGAACTTCAGGTCCTAGTTTGCATCTTTCTACTTCTCCTCCTGCAAACTAGAGCCAGACTCATGCTTTTATTCAGCTAGAGCAAAAGCACAACCCACAGTAGAACCAAAGTCCCATGAAACCACTTGCCATCCTCCCCTCTTACTACAGCCCCAGCACCTATGCCCCATATTTCCTGCTTTTTCAATCAATACTCTCATATCCAAGGCTCACTATCTCAGCAACTCCATGCACCACAGTTATGCCTTGTATCTTGCACTAGAAAAGCAGGTAAGCAAAACTCATGCAGCTGAAGGTTCTCACAGGCTGTACCACCCCTCAGAGAAGCCAACTGCTCTATATCAACAAGAAAAGCCCATGCACAAGCACCTGGTAGAGGTCACTCTTACGTAGCACCTCGGTTAGTTCCCACGTACCTTTGGTTTTTTTGATTGTTTGAGGGTTTTGTTTGGTTGGCTTTTATTTAAAAAAAAAAAACCAAAAACAAACCAAAAACCAAACCAAAACTACAGAGCAGGTTATCCAGCAGTGATAGGCCAACTGCTTCGACCACTCTGAATGTATTCTGAATTAAATATTTCATGTCATAGTTAGGCATGCTTTTTTAGTTTATAAAAACTGATTAAAGATCCTATAAAAATCAAAGGTCTTTAATATACTCACTTTTTACTTGAAGTATCATAGAGAATAATTCTTTTATCCAAACCTACAGTTACAAGCAGCAGCTTATTGACTGGAGAAAAGCAGATTTCTGAAGCTGGGGCTTTATGAGCATTTTCAAAATTATGATATGGGTTTTGGCTATTTACATCCCACAGAGTTACATTTCCACTGTCAGAAACAGTGCCCAGCAAGGATTTCTTAAAAGATGAATATTTCAAGTGTCGAATAGGCTGAAAAACAGATATAAAACATAAACTGTAATACCATTATTAAACATCATATTAAATTATTTTATAAACACAAAAAACATATTAGGAATACAGATGTTACATTAAAGCAGTTTACAAAGGCTGGCCATTCAAAAACAGTAATTAAAAAATGTACATTTTTCATGACAATGCCATTTTTGCAGTTGGTGGCAGACTTTTTTTTTCACTGGGTACCATATGAGCTGATCAAAAAAAGTGAAGGACAAGGGGAAAGGAAAAAAAAATCCAACTCCTGGAAAAGTGTCTTGATTTTTCAGCAAACATCACGCCATCATACACACTACAAAGAAAACCCACACTAAATCTAAAATAAAAAGAGTGAAAAGCTACTTAGTTTCACTGATTGGTCTCCTGCCAAGAATGTTAAACCTAATTTCCCTCAGTTGATTTTACATACTTGGTTATAAGCCAATTTGGTAAGACACACAGACTTCAGAGTTATGCAAGTATGTACGTCCTGCAGAACAGATTTCACTCTGTGAGCCAGGACCAGAGAAGAGGATAATATCCCTGGTCTATCACAGGCAGTTTTGCTATCACAGAACCATGTAATATAGCAACTTTAAATTGCCTTTCAGAAGCAGGTAAATATTTTATTTCCCTCGTGTTGCTTCAGAGGATCTTCCAGAACCTCACTGCTCTATTACAGTACTCAATTTCTAGATTAATTTTATTTGTGACCCATTTACACTAATTCACTCCCATGACAATAACACACAAACTGTTTCCCTAAATCCCCAGTGCTGCTTTTCCCTGTTTAAACAGCCACCTCATCTTCTTTCAAGCCTTATTCTGATATAAGCAATAAGCAAGACTCAGTCTCCTAAGACTGTTTTTTTCATTACCTTCACAGTCTCTTTGCAGCTCTCTCAGTTCAAACCTTTCTTGAATATGGACAACCAAAATCTTACATGATCCTCAATACATTTTGCTACTGCCTTTACAAAGGCAGTCACACTTCCTCCATTTTGTAGTGGAAATACTTATCCTGACATATCCTACACTGCAATTCCCTTTTTGTGATCCAGTCTGTTTTGGTTGCTCATTGCCATTTTATGATCAATAAGCCCAAGTCCTTCTTTCCCTTGAGAATTTTCAAATCCTAGACTAATACGAAAAGCCTTAGTTGTGAACTAAGTCTCAGGCCTTGATTTCTAAACAGTCATAGCTGTTCTCATGACCACTACTTCAATCATTTTAGATACTGTCTCAATCCTCTCTCCTACAGGCAACACCTTCGAACTCTGTCTCATCATAGGTCTATTCCTCATATCATAACCATTACTGAAAATATTAAACAAGATCAGCTATTGATAACACAAACAAAATAATGTTCTTTCAGTATTACCTCTACTGTCTTCTTTCCTATAACCAATTTCTTACCCAACCTCAAATCCTTTCTAAATCTCCACCCTCCCTAGTATTTTCTCACACGGCACTGAATCAAGTGCAGATCAGACTCAAAAAACAGAGGTGCTTAAATTTGTGCAGACTTTTATGAGACAGTCAAATCCATCATATTGGCGTCCCTGACAGTATGCTACATGTCCTAGTTTCAAACTTCTGCCTGGACAGCTGCAGGCGTGAAAGAATCTCATTTCTAATAGGCTGCTTGACAAGACAAAACCAAAATATTTCTTCTCCCAGAAGTGAGTCACTTAATCTGAAGTTTTTTAAAGAAACACTTTATCTGAAAACTACTGGGTGAAAAAAAACCGACAGCTTTAAGCTTAGCACAGTTAGAAAGAGCAGACAACCTCATATGGGAAAGCATAGAATCACCGAACAGTTTGGGTTCGAAGGGACCTTAAAGATCATCTGGTCCTGGTCCAAACCCCCTGCTATGGGCAGGGACACCTCCCACCAGACCAGGTTGCTCAAAGCCTTATCCAGCCTGGCCTCGAACACTTCCAGGGAGGGGGAGTATCAAGTATTAAGATTCAGGTGGTCCAACTACAACACTTACAGCAGTAAGACTTACAGTCTTAGCTACATTGTATTTATTTCCCTCTTTAGAGGGAAATTAGAAACTGTATTTTAGAATGAGAACAGGCTTCATGAAGCATTCTGTCTTTAAAATACTGACTCAACTCTACATGAATTTTGTATCATTATAAACAGAAAATTAACATGTTATCCAGTGTTCACTGGAGTTATGTCAAAACACACAAACAGCCACTATGAAAGCTGACAAGTATACACAGGAAGTATCTTTTCTTGTGATCCAGTGCAGCAAGTGAATAGGACTCCTCGTACAGGAAGAGATGAACTATTACACTCGATCAGATATTTAAGCTATTTTTTCCTACACTGACATGTATAAAAGCGTTTGATACTGAAATTCTAAAAAGGGTAAAGGGGACCCCTCCCCAGTCACCACAGGAGACAGATCCAGGAAAATGTAATGCTAGGCATAAATCTCTTCC